TATGGAGTCTCGCCTTCAGATGTCCTTCAAGTGCACTGATGATAAGGAAGACGAAAAAGAAAAAACTTTCCTTCTGCCTGGGGAGATGCCGGAAGAGTGCATGCGTGTGTGTCTGTGTGGTTAGATGGGTCAGTGTGCGTGTGTGGTTACATATATGCGTGTGTGGTTACATGTGTGCGTGTGTGAAAATAATATAGTTCGTAAATTTTTTTTGTAGTTAATAAGTTAGTGATGCTTGTATATACGAAATAATGATATATTAAGTGTATTTATCATGTTTATTTTAGATAGAGTGCACGCCGATTTCGACTCCTAATACCCGATTTCGACTCCTAATACCCGATTTTGATTCCTAATACCCGATTTTGACTCCTAATACCCGATTTTGACTCCTAATACCCGATTTTGACTCCTAATACCCGATTTTGACCAACTTTTAATCACTCATTCACCTCAGTTTCATTTTTTCTTTGGCTACCTTCCTCCCTTACACACACACACACACATGAACGTGCTGTGGAGAGCGGTTAACAAATACAGCGGCCATAATCTGAGAATATGCCTATGGAATAACTAATATACTGTATATAGATAATACATAGTGGCACGGGGAGAGAGGATCATTTGACGAGGGGTTTGAGCGGAGCGTCAGGCCGAGAGATTGACAGAGCAAAAAACTCGATGTTCCTTGATTAGAGGAAAAGAAACCAACATATTGTTGACGAGTCAAGAAACTGTGGCTAAATATAACAACGGAACAAAACTCAAATTAAATGTTGACGTGTGCTGCTGAAGGAGTTACCTGTTGACGTGTGCTGCTGAAGGAGTTACCTGTTCACGTGTGCTGCTGAAGGAGTTACCTGTTCACGTGTGCTGCTGAAGGAGTTACCTGTTCACGTGTGCTGCTGAAGGAGTTACCTGTTGACGTGTGCTGCTGAAGGAGTTACCTGTTGACGTGTGCTGCTGAAGGAGTTACCTGTTGACGTGTGCTGCTGAAGGAGTGTGCTGCTGAACGTGTGCTGGAGGTTACCTGTTGACGTGTGCTGCTGAAGGAGTTACCTGTTGACGTGTGCTGCTGAAGGAGTTATCTGTTGACGTGTGCTGCTGAAGGAGTTACCTGTTGACGTGTGCTGCTGAAGGAGTTACCTGTTGACGTGTGCTGCTGAAGGAGTTACCTGTTGACGTGTGCTGCTGAAGGAGTTACCTGTTGACGTGTGCTGCTGAAGGAGTTACCTGTTCACGTGTGCTGCGTGTGCTGCTGAAGGAGTTACCTGTTGACGTGTGCTGCTGAAGGAGTTATCTGTTGACGTGTGCTGCTGAAGGAGTTACCTGTTGACGTGTGCTGCTGAAGGAGTTACCTGTTGACGTGTGCTGCTGAAGGAGTTACCTGTTCACGTGTGCTGCTGAAGGAGTTACCTGTTCACGTGTGCTGCCTGCTTGTTACGTGTGCTGCTGAAGGAGTTACCTGCTGACATGTGCTGCTGAAGGAGTTACCTGCTGACGACTGCTGCAGAAGGAGTTACCTGCTGACGTGTGCTGCTGAAGGAATTACCTGCTGACGACTGCTGCTGAAGGAGTTACCTGCTGACGACTGCTGATGAAGGTGTTACCTGCTGACGTCTGCTACAGAAGGTGTTACCTGCTGGCGTGTGCTGCTGAAGGTACCTGCTGACGGCTGCTGCTACCTGCTGACGACTGCTGCTGAAGGTGTTGACGTCTGCTACAGAAGGTGTTACCTGCTGACGACTGCTGCTGAAGGTGTTACCTGCTGACGTCTGCTACAGAAGGTGTTACCTGCTGACGACTGCTGCTGAAGGTGTTACCTGCTGTCGTCAGCTGCAGAAGGTGTTACCTGCTGACGTGTGCTGCTGAAGGTGTTACCTGCGACGACTGCTGCAGAAGGTGTTACCTGCTGACGACTGCTGCTGAAGGTGTTGCCTGCTGACGTGAGCTGTTGAAGAGTTGCTGCTGACGTGTGCTGCGTGTTGAACTGGAAGGTGTTACCTGCTGACGACTGCTGCTGAAGGTGTTACCTGCTGACGTGCAGAAGTTACCTGCTGACTGCTGCTGAAGGAGTTACCTGCTGACGTGTGCTGCTGAAGGAGTTACCTGCTGAACTGCTGCTACCTGCTGACGACTGCTGCTGAAGGTGTTACCTGCTGACGACTGCTGCTGAAGGTGTTACCTGCTGACGTCTGCTACAGAAGGTGTTACCTGCTGACGACTGCTGCTGAAGGTGTTACCTGCTGACGTCTGCTACAGAAGGTGTTACCTGCTGACGACTGCTGCTGAAGGTGTTACCTGCTGTCGTCAGCTGCAGAAGGTGTTACCTGCTGACGTGTGCTGCTGAAGGTGTTACCTGCTGACGACTGCTGCAGAAGGTGTTAGCTGCTGACGACTGCTGCAGAAGGTGTTACCTGCTGACGACTGCTGCTGAAGGTGAAGTTGTATCAGTAATAATATCTTGTGGTTCCTGTAAACACTGGACATGTTTTACTTCATATATCTCACCCTGGTGGACAGGGGAGAGACTAGCGCCTTTCCGCAGCTGTCCTCTTGTTTCAGAATAATCTGTGTGCTCTTCCCGATTACAGTTTTAGACAGATCTGGAATGTATTCAACAGTGTATTTTTTTAGAACCAAGTTTATCGCTACTCTGTCGTGTTCACTGAGGTCCTATAATACAGTGTATAGGAAGGAAGTCACAACAGTTGGATTCTAACGCCCTCGTAAGCAAGGCGAACAGTTTGTTGTCTGGCTTCAGAGACAAGCGTGTACTGTATATTTTCATGTGTTCATGACGAGGCAAATGTTTAAGAAAGTCCATTCGTGTTTTAGTAATTTTTCTATTATCATTTGCAGGATTTGTCCAGTGCATTATGTTCGTCTGTCTATCAGCTGGTGGTGGAGTACGGCTGGGGAGGAGATGGGTGAGGTACTGCGCTTTGGTTTTGGTGATGAACGTAGGCCTACTCGCGCTACTTCCCTACACTTACGTCAACAAGGTAAAGTGCTCATCATAGTGCGGTCTGTACTCTACTTTGGATTTTACCCGTGAACAATATAATTATTGCCTAAATCCCATATACTCGTATCAATGGCCTTCATCTCTGAAAATTCGGAAACTGATGTCTGATTTTCCCTTAACAACTGACTAGACGGAAGGATCACAAGCACAATAGCTACTTCCTTGAACGATTTATCAACAAAATAAACAGAAGATAACTTGTGGAATATAACCAACACTAGCTTACAAGTTAACTGTACTCTACCTCTCAGGAAGAAGTACCGACCACCACACACAATCACTTCAAGTAGTAGTCATTGCTGTCAGACTACTTACACTTTCTCCTCTTGGCAGGTCTCCCCCCGGCTACCTCCCTCAGTTAAAGTAGAAAAGACTACTCAAGAGACAGGAACACCACAAGACTTCAGCAGGAGGGCAGGAAATACAGAGGTTACAGCAGGTGGTGACGACATGGGAGAGATGTTAAAACGGCGTCGGTCTTCCCTCTCCCATCAGTGTCACCAACTGAACGTCACCAGTAAGGTACCGGCTCAACCCTGGCTCAACACACACATTATAAGTGCTCCGGGACCTCTTCAAGTCTGCATCACAACCAAGGTAAAGTAAGCAACTGGTTTATTCTCATCGTCAAAGCTAAACTGGAATATTTATCTCCTCAAGGCAGATATCAGCGAGTTAACTCCAGAAAAGCAATAACCGGGACAAATGTTGAGCTAAAAAAACATTCATAACCCATTAACTATGAGGCCCCACTTAACTCTAAACGGAACATCATCAAACTAGAAATAGTAAAAATTACCATCTGAAATTTATATAAAAGAAAACGAGCTTCTTTTATAGTCATAGAAAACATCTTCTCGCGAGTTTTGTTTAGACTATTATATTCACGTCCTTTAGTACTAAATTAAACTCCCTTACACACATCACCTAAATAGGATTCTTTTATATGCTAGTTTATGATCAAGAGAGTAATTTTGAATTACAGAGATCTAAATATTATTTTGTGCAAGAGTGTCAAATGAAAATCGCCTACTGGCTTTGTGACTTTTAAATCTTATCTTAACAGGAAACAAAGGCGTATTCTTTTCTTTTACTTTACTTTATCCTCTTCGCCACTGATCGGCTCGCTAGCCGCCCGGGCGATCGGTCACGTCTCTGTCACGCACTGTTGGCAAGTACTGGGCATGCACCGTTTCCTGAATGTACCTGAACCCGCTCCAGTGTTGGTCAAGTCTTGTCTTGAAAGAGCTCACACTCGGTGCCGTCACAACACTCTCTGGTAGATTGTTCCAAGAGTTTACAACCCTCACTCCGAAAAAGTTTGCCCTTGAGATGCTTATACACCTCAACTAGGTCCCCCCTTGCCCGTCTGTAGTATAAGCTAGGCAAGTTCAGGCGCTCCAATCTCTCAGGGTAGCTGAGGTGCCGAAGTGCAGGCACCAGTCTGGTGGCCCTCCTTTGAACATTTTCAACCAACTGATTGTAGAACTATTCCCGCTAGCCTTTCCCCTAGTATCTATCCCAACACTCAATATCTATCCCAACTCCCAGGAAATGTTATCACCAGTAGGTCAGATGTGTATAGCAACGGCAAAGAAGGAAGATTTAGTCAGACTGTTCTTTACGTTTGTTTTAAGATTGGATCAAGGTCTTGGAGGCAACTGTTAGCAAAACTAAGGAACTCTGTCCCTAGCACACCTCACCCCATCCGAGTGTTGCTAGTGAGACACCCGCTGGCTCGTCTTGCTTCAGCCTACAGGTAAGTACAACACCTCTCACTCTGTTTCCTGTGCAATATTAATTTCACTTACTGGATTGTTAATTGTATGGATTGATTTTAAACAAAGAACCTAACCTAACCCAACCTAGCCAAAACCCTACGTAACCTAACCCAACCTAACCAAACCCTACCTAACCTAACCCTACCTAACCAAACGTGACTTGTGTACCACCTTGACAGGGGCACGTTCCTGGATGGGTTACCGATCAGTGAGTACGATGACTGGAAGAAGGAGATGGAGATACCTTACCCTTGGCTACTGTTCTGGTACACCTTCTGGCTGCCGGCGCTCATCGTGAAGGGCACCCTCCCACTGCTTCAGGAATTTAGGGATGGCATTGACCGGAATGTTAAGGCTTTCGAGTTTCTTTTAAAGTGTTGTATGACGGATAATGGCAATCATCTGGTTTTTCCAAGTAAGAATGTATTTACCGCCATGAAAACGGACATCTCTGTTCTAAAATCGATGGTTGCTGGTGGACTACAGTGTGGGATGGTGGATCCGTTACTGCACTCATACAATACCACGGACGCGACACTCATTCAGCAATATGGCAACTCGTCCTTCACGTTCCAAGACTTTCTAAGACTCGTGGTGTGGAGTCATGAATTGGGTGTGCCCGACTCTCACTGGCGTCCCATCATGGAAAACTGTCAAGTGTGTAGGAGTGATTATCAGTACATCTTACATCACGAGAATATAGCGCAGGAGTCCCACTACTTGGTGCAGCAGGTGTTGGGGTACCCTGAGGGCGCCGTCCTCCCCGTCACACACACCGTAAAGAAGCTCTCCCCCAAAACCTCTGACCTACATTACTTCAGGGATGTTCCGCAGGACTTGATGGATAAGATAATGAACATTTATAAATATGATTTTGAATTGTTTGGCTACAGGGCAAATGTTTTGTGAATATAAGTTATGTTTAGTATTGTGAAGCAAGGAAGCAGCACAGTGATGTAGAGGTAACGCTCACTTTACCTTTTTTTTTGTCCTCTTCGTCCGCCACCGATCGGTCTGTTAGTGTCTTGGACGGTGTCACTCACTGTTGGTAAGTACCGGACAAATGCTGTACTGCACTGGCTCCAGAATGTCTCTGAAGGCAACACTTATTGTATACTTGTGTCCAGCGGCAAGTTGGGTGAGGACGGTGTCATTCACTGTGTAGAAAACAGTGAACAAGTAGTTAATGATGATATTATTGTTATAAACAGAGGATAATCTCTTGGGCCATTCATAACAAGTTTACTATAGTGACAGTTGCTATCATACCGCTATATTTTCATGGTGATTTACTGATAATGATAGTCATAGTGATACATAGATAGTGACATGTTAATATATAGTGGTAGTGAAGAAGTGGGTCCCATAGGCATGACTGGCCGTGAGGGACAGTGTGGATACAACACACTAAGCCTTCGGTACACAAGGAGGCAGCATGGCCGGTACTGTCTTCAGTTGTAAACTGAGGTACCCATTTACAGCTGGGTGAACTATAAACTAACCACACACGTGACACTGTGGGCCACAACAGAGACAGATACAGTAGACTACAGTTAATTATTGATTAAAAATACGGCGGTGTGGAATGATATGTAAGAAGTCCACAGACTGTGGGGGGTCTACTTTTTGAGAGAAAAACAATCCGTCAAATTTTAGGTCTGGAGGAGACCATGTTCCTACAGGGCGGCGTCCAGACCTATAATTGGATTAAAAAAAATGGTTTTCCCCACAGTCTGTAGACTTTCTACATATCATTCCACACCGCTGTATTTTTAATCAATAATTAACTGTAGTCTACTGTATCTGTCTCTGTTGTGGCCCACAGTGTCACTGCGCTGCACTCCACTGCCTAGGTATACATTGTTTGTATACCTTGCATTATATACATTGATTTTTATACTTGTACTGCCTATACACATTGTTTTTATACCTAAATTGTCTATATACATTGTTTATACATAAGTACCTGCACTGTCTATATGACTCATAGGCAAGCATACTTTTCGAAAATAAGCCACAACAATGTCTTTTGATGTCTGTCAATATCATATTATTAGTATTTTCTACACCCCAGCTCAGTAGTCACCTGTACATACATAAATATTTAATGCTTAACAAATTTACACCTAAATTCCAAAGTAAATAAAATAAGATTAGCAAATTTACGCCAATATTACACTCGTTCATCAGGTAAAGTCAGGGTATTCAAATGGCTCCTTTACATGAACGAGGTCATTTATCAGTTTATTCTCACTCACTCGATCACATCCACTTAAGGTGCGTTTGTTTACATTCTCACTCATTCGATCACATCCTCTTAAGGTGCGTTTGTTTACATTCTCACTCACTCGATCACATCCACTTAAGGTGCGTTTGTTTACATTCTCACTCATTCGATCACATCCACTTAAGGTGCGTTTGTTTACATTCTCACTCACTCGATCACATCCACTTAAGGTGCGTTTGTTTACATTCTCACGCACTCGATCACATCCTCTTAAGGTGCGTTTGTTTACATTCTCACTCTCTCGATCACATCCACTTAAGGTGCGTTTGTTTACATTCTCACGTAGGTAACTTGTAGGTTACTGTAGTGAGCTGATGACTTACTTAAAAGTTGTGTACATTACTTTACCACGAGTCTGTTGATGTTTTGTCACTTGTAGTTTCATTGACTTTAAAGATGAAGTTAGGTTAATATATTTTTCCATTGGCCACGAAAATTGGACCTTCTAAAGTTTATTGAGAAGCATATTGTGATTTATGTTCCAATGCCATAAAATTTTCATGATAAATTTTAGTTTAAGTGGTTCATTATTATTATTATTATTATTATTATTATTATTATTATTATTATTATTATTAGTAGTAGTAGTAGTAGTAGTATTTGTGTTGTTATCATACTTTATAAATATAAGAACTATTAATGGGTAAAGTTGAGGGTAGGGGGGGCAGGGGTAAGCAGAGAATGGAATGGAAGAATGAAATAAAAAAATGGGTCACTATTGAGTTGCAGGATAATGGAGAATTGGTTAAAACAGCTCGAAAACATTTAACGTGAAGGAGGACTGTGGTCGCTAACCCTCACGTATAATGGCGGTACTTTAAATGAGATTAAAAGACTCAAATAATTCAGTTTTGTGGTCACTGACGTCTTTGTGTTATACATACAAGAATTTAACCAATCACAACACGAAAACCTATTCCTGAGGCGCCCATTGGTCACCTACTATTACCACGTGACTTGCTTCAGCCAATCAAATATGGAGAGGATCGCTACGTCATCAATAACAGAGCCTGAGGGGAGATGAGAGGGACAGCCAACCAGGTTCAATCAGTGTGTTGTTGTGATTGGAGGTGGTGACTACCTCTCGTACGTCGCATAATTTTGAAATATCTGACAACAAAATCAGATTATTACCACAAAAGGGTAAGTTAGTTGTAATCATACTCAAGGGGTTAAATCATCATACTCAAGGGGTTAAATCATTGAAGGTAAATTAGTTTTGATTGACAGGTAAATGACGGGAGACTTTGGGAGACAGGTGGTGGTGATGCTGTTGTTGCTGTCTACACCTGTAGTTCCTGTCTTCCTCCCCCCCTCTGTCTCACGTGAGGTAGGTGTGTCTGTCTGTACCTGTGTGTGTATGTCTTTCTGTCTTTAACTCTATATTCATCTTTCTCTCTCCGCCTTCTTCTATTATTATTACTATTGTTAAGGTGGCGCTATAATCCAGGTGTTGTGTGTCCCCTTCAGGTGGTCACTTCCTTCCCAGATGATTTAAAATACTGCCACTTAGCTGTTGTTGACCTGACCGCCTCCTCGACGCTGACCTGTGCTTCCCTGTGTCTCCAGTACTCGGGGTGTCGGCTCTACTGCCTCAAGGGTGAGCTATGGTATTAAGTGTTACTTCAAGGGTGAGCTTATGGTATTAGGTGTTACTTCAAGGGTGAGCTATGGTATTAGGTGTTACTTCAAGGGTGAGCTATGGTATTAGGTGTTACTTCAAGTGTGTTGTGTTGCAGGTAATAAGTGTAATGTGTTCAGCGCTCAGGTGTCTGTTCATTGGAGAGGACAAGGTGGACCTTCAACTCACCTGTACGACAAGTGCTACTCGAGCTGGCACGTCAACAACTCTCTCACACACCACATCGTGAGCGTCTCCTCCTCGGCCGAGTTTGGTATACAACGTCTTGCAAAATACGCCGTCAGTGGTTTCTTCTGCAACGCCACCAACTACTTTTGCTTCACCTCCGGACATGATTTTAATTCCTGGTGGAGGGCCGACCTGGGCCAGCCACTTCGAGTGTCCTCCATCTTGGTTCAGACGAGGCGGGATAACTTCACTGAGTCACTGTTCCTCGGCGTCACTGTCTATCTGGGTAACTCAAGTAACTATGTGGATAACCCAGTATTCGACGTCTTCCCAGGGTCAGCTCCGCCCTGGGGGATGTTGGTGACCTTCAAGCCCTCCCAGCCTGTGACGGGTCGCTACCTCCTCTTACACGCCCCCAACTGCCAATTCTTGACCATCTGTGACGTGCAGTTACTAGGATAAGATAGTGAAGCTCCTGGAGGTTATAACTTATAGTCTAACCTAAGATACCTAACCTAACCTAACCTGACCTATCCCAACCTGCCCTAACCTAACCTGACCTATACCAACCTGCCCTAACCTAACCTGACCTATACCAACCTGCCCTAACCTAACCTGACCTATACCAACCTGCCCTAACCTAACCTGACCTATCCTAACCTGCCCTAACCCCTAACCTATCCTAACCTGCCCTAACCTAACCTGACTTAACCTAACCAATTTTACTGGCCGTATTAATGTACAGTACACCTAAACCTTATCGTTATCACATTCCTCTATCTCTCTTTAGGTGTCAGTGTTCTCAGATAAAAAATAAATCTTCACAGGTGTTAGATTGCCAGATGTTGTGTGGTTATAATCTGTGGTCAGGTCAGGTCAGGTCAAGAGGTCACAGGGGAATTCCACAGGTGAATTTTTTCTCGTTTAAATAAATGTCTTACTAGTTACCATTCTGTTCCCTGCACTGTACATCTTTCTCACTGTGTATGTACATCTTTCTCACTGTGTATGTACAGTATTTATATAACTACACTGTGTATACCTGCAGTAACTATGTATATCGTTTATATACCTGTACTATATACATTGTCTACCTGCTCTCTCTATATATATTCTGAATCAATGTGAACTTATATGACGATTTTACTGAATCTATCTAAATTATATAAACATGTATAATAAGACAAATGAGATATATTAATAATATAAATAAAGATAATAATGATGGTGATTATATTATATATTATATGAAAATGATTCATGAAGCATAAGGGTGATTTTGCCATAGAGATTACGTGAGGATTTAACTTTATGAGACAATTTATGGTGGTTGATGGCAACTTTGTTTAGGAGGATATTTTAAAGTTTAAAACCAAATAAAATAAACAAGAACGCCAGTCACCCCTGAGACACCGGGGCGTGAGGTTAACACGTCCTAGTTCTGTGTTTAATTGGTAAGTTATGTGTATTTCTCCCATTTGTTCATGCCAGTGTGTGTGTGTGTGATTATAGTTCCTGATATACAGTATATCTACATTATAAGAAGTAATATTAATAAGAAAGCCGTGGATCTAGACAATTGACCATCCACTCTACCTATGACGCCACACACTACCTACGGAAAATAGACGAATAAAAAACGCCAAAGAAATACGCAACCTTGATAATTAAATAAAACGATAATAAACCACAAACGCAGGAGAGACTTGTTAAGAAATTAAGAAATTATCATGAGTATAACATAGATTGATAAAATATTCAATGACAGAGAACGTGACTTGGTGATGGTGGTGGTTTTAATGTAAAGTTGAGAGTCATTTAGATGGTCATGTTCCACGGTGGCTGGGATTGGGGTGGGTAAAATTATCCTGAATATTAAAGTTCTAAAGTGTACTATGTGACTGACGTGAAGATTGGACACCCTAGTTTATTCCCTGTGACGATAAAAACGTCCTAGTATGGTTAGGTTAGGTTAGCCATTCTCCTCGCTAGATGCGGAAGATGGTAGTGTTCTCACGCTTGTTGGAAATTCTATTATTCTTACTAATTGCGTTAATTAATTCTTACACATGTTTTATTTCCTTCATACATGTTTATTGTAATATGTGAGCTAATATATTATTCAAGTTTGTTTTTATTACTTTTATTGTTTGTTCCGAGTTATGTTGATGTTTACGTCTATAGAGTGTGGTAGTGTAGTCATGTCCAGCCAGGGGAGAGGAGGTGCGCACTACTTTGTTCTGGTCCACCCGTGCATTATCGCCTTCATCGGTTCAGGCCTCGTCATGATGGCGGTGAGTCAAGACACCTGTAGTTAGCTAGTTGTACAGTCACTCACAGAGGTCCGGTCGCCTCCCCTGTTGTTACACGAGCTCCGAGATTCAGATTCGTGAACCTGAAGTAGTAAACACTATTGTATTTTTCTGTCCATAAATGCTTCGGATTCACGAGTCTCTAATCTCGAGGTTCGTGGTTCAGGAGGAGAGGCGACACAGGACTTTTGTGAGCGACTGAACCTCACTTACATACCTGACGTTATATTTGGTAACTGAAGACAATTTAACACAGTCTACCTGAAAACAGTCTGCCGCACCATATCCTCGTGTACCGAAGGCCTTATATTCAATGTCTTGTGTAAATAAGTGTTAATTGTTGTGTGTATTGTACCTTCAGCTGACGTGGAAGTGTCCAGAAGTCTTTAAGAATGAGCACCTCGGGTTACTGGGTCAGTTTCTTCACTGGCTGGGTACTGAGCACAACACCTTTATGATGCTCGTGTAAGTTCCTTCTTAAGTAAATTTGTTCTTATACAAATTGTACTTATAATTTGTGCCTTTAAATGTATTGAATGACTAACTCCTTCACCATTTGTGTTTTGTTTTTACATTCTCATATTTTTTTACAGATTTACACCAGTTATGACAATCCACGTGATGGAGGCAGTGGTGGCAGTGTACCTGTGTGGGACTCTAGGCCTCACTCCCCCCACCACTGTTCTCTGGGTCGCTCAGATCTTAGTGGTCGGCATATTATCACTAAGGTTTCTCATCTGGCCTTTACGAGACCTACAAAATGATGCCAAAACAACAAAACGTGAATAGATGGTAAGGTAGAGGACATTACTCAGTCGAGTGTTCATACTTGCCCGCCCCAGCTTGTATGACGATTTAAATGAATAAATATCTATCTATATAACAGTCTATCTATAAATCTATCGATCAAACGACAACACTGAACCAGGTAATTGTACCTTAAAGCACAGAGTGACACCAGCAAACTGTCGAGGAAGTTTAAATAAAAAAATAAAATCAAATAAAGTAGCAACACTGGACGAGCCGGACACCGAGTGAGGTAAATATTACATCTACAAGTTGTGGCCATAAATTAGGTCAAACCAGCAGTAAAGAGTTTGTTTAGTGTAGATTATAAAACATAAAGTATCACATAGATTATCATTGTTACTCACACAATCCAACAAAAAGTGTCCCTTGAGGGATAATCGGGGTTTGGACATCATTCTTGCAGCCACTCAAATCATCACCGTCCACAAGTCATAGTCGACATTCTACAAGTCATCGTCCTCAAGTCATCGTGCACAGGTCATCACTTAACAAAGGCTAAAACTGTCATTTAAACGCTAAATAATATTTCTAAATAACCCTTATTAATATTTGACCCAAGTTTTATGTACTGTAAATAACCTACAATGGCAAATTCAAATTAAAGAAAAATGTTTTAGTTATCAATCCATATGTTACAATTTTCTTTCAATTTTAACCCTAACTTAATTAAAATTAGTATCAGCGTGTTTTATTTAAATCTGACCTTCATTTCTGGTGCAAATTAGCGTTTTGGGGGCAAAACATAATTTTTTTATTTATAACAGAACTGCTAATTTACAACAAAAAATCTAACATTTTTTTGGAGCTAACCTACTCCTGTGGTGGACGGTACGCTTATGGCTATAGACAACAGAATTTCCGTCTTTTCTTAGAAGTAAATAATTTCCACACGTAGGACACAGTCTTGATGTTGGTAGGACACCGTCATCTTGAAATATTTGGATTGCTTCACTGTTGTTCTCATAAACTCGCTGAATACCAGGTAAATTAGGGAAAGAACACTTTTCGCGTGTCATCACCAGCCTTAAAAATTCGAAGTTCACGGTGGACGGCTGCTTCACAGTGTGCCACATTTTTAAATAGGAATCATCGTACTGGAACTTCAAATTTAGCGTTTTTCGGTAGAATTATGGTGTGTTATTATTAAATAATTTTTTTAGTTATTGCACTCCCAAGCATCATCATTACGTGTACCTAGGGTTATTTATTGAAAACTTCCCATTATAATTTTCTTCATGTAATGAGGGATCCTCCTCTCACACATTGCACTATTTGAACACAGACATAAGATTCTCTGATCACTGTACCTGTCGTGGGTGTATGTCACGTGAGGATACGAGGTGTATTAAGTTCATACCGACGCATACAAGATATTTCCTTTCAAGTATAGTTTCTGGGTCACTTCCAACACCTCACATAGTTCTGATACATTTATCCTTTTTCCAGATCATTGTTCTCATGTATTTTCATATGATATCTGTGGAAGTTATGTTCGCTACACGCTCACAGACGTAAATAGTATGACCTTCAAACCCTGATCCACACTTAGTCCTACAGTACACTAGTCCGGCTCAACTGGACTTTAACATTCATCTTATGGATACCCTGAGTTCTCCTTAATGCTATGAATACATACAATTAATATGATATAACTGTACCTGGGTACAATACAACACATGGTCTAGTAACATTGAGTAGGTGAGTTATCCTTTATCAATGTTTCCCGTTTTCTGAGGTTCTACAAGCGCGGTGGATTTGAATGTTATATAGCGTAATATGAATTAAATGGGGTTTTTAGGAATGACAATGATGTGCACAGTACATAATCAGGTATATATTTACCAATTTTATTTTGCAGAGTCAAAACTAGGGCATGCAATGAAAATCATATAAGATTGCACTGTAATTAAAGAAACAAAATTTATTTACAGGAAAAAAGAATACAGTAAATGCCATTCTATAAGAGTAAGCAGTAACTTACATAAAACTCAAATCATTCTTAAATGTGCCAACTCTTTAAGATTAATAACTCAGTAAGACCACACTAAAACATATATTTTCAGTGATCACCATTAGCCCTCTACTTCAAGAACCTCATCTGTCAAGTTGTGAAAAAATTGTGCGTGATTAGATATACCTGCAAGCATATCTTAAAAAAATATCTTCAGAGGGCAAAAATTTGACT